CCCCAAAACCCCAAAACCCCAAAACCCCTTAAAGTAAATTTAAGTTATTCCAATTATTTTTAGAAATTAAAAATTTTAAAAGTTGAGTTTAATCTAATATATTTAATAATCTTTTATATTGAGTTTGCTTTTAAAAATAATAATTAAGAGGTTTATTAAATTAGTAATTTTATACCAAGTATCTTCAACTATGGCTCTACATTAAAATATCTAAAAAAACAAGAAGATCAATAAAAGATTTGAAAGTGATCATAATTCTACCCAAATCTTCTCCTAAAAAAACAGCAGCAAAAATCAAAAAATTTATTTTGAAGAAGAGAAATGGTATAGTGCTACTCAGAGAGATGAAGAAGAAGATTTGTTATAATCTTTTCTTAAATAAAGATCAAGAGAGTTAGGTAATGAATCAGTATTAAATGACTATAAAACTTTTAAGAATATCCAAAGTATGATTTAAAATTACGCTTCAAGTCTTTTAAATGGATTAAACACTGATACTACTCTTTCAAATATTGATGGAAATTTAACTTCTGATGATTTAGAAAGATAACCTCAATCTGAGCCAAATTTCAAAAAGAAAAATAAGACAAATTATATAATGAAAATTCAAGATTTTCCTACGATAGCTATAAATCCAGAGAATAAAATTCAAGAAAAACTTTCCCGGAAAGAATACTACATTGGTAAGGACTGGCAGATTGTAGCGAGAATATTCATTCTTAAGAAAGATTAAAACCTTATATAATAATTAGAAAGCTTGCATGATGCAGTGATAATCTTTTAGTAAGACATTTTTCTTATTATAGGTATATTAATATTACTTTGAAAATCTTATAGGAAGAGATCATTGGAAAATTTTGGAAATTGAACAAGAACTTAAAGATAAACTTGAGAAGTTAAAAAATATGTTGATTGCTGAATAGCAAATAAACAAATCAGAATAGCTCTAGTTAATTAATAAGAAAAATCTTGAATATTGGGAAAAAATGGCAGGTGTTAATCTTGAGTACCGTTTAATCAATAAAATAGTCTAAAAACCTATATAAAAGCAAGTAAAGGTTAAAATACCACAAAATCCTTTACCTTAATAAGCAACCAAATCACATAGATGGGTGTACTAGGTATTCAAAGATGATCCGAACTATGGTGCCCGTATGAATAAAAATGATAACTTCATAGCTTATGATTAAAATAAAAGTGATTCAATTGAATCATTTTTTTAAAAGACCATCTTATCAGGTAACTACGATAATAGGTATCGATTTTGAGGAAATAATGGCCATACATACGAAATCTATGGATATACTAATAATCCAGATTAATGGTTTTAAATTAATGTCACTACAAAAAAGAAGAGAAGAATTAATAGAAGGAATAAGATTAAATAAAATTCTTCTAAAATCAATTAATATGATCTACAGATGTAAACTATTGTAATAAATGAGACTATCAAGCAAAATGTTTTATTTTGCAGAGGACTAAAAGAGGATATAGAATCATTTCTAAAATACTTGTAAAAATAAACAGACAATGAATCTAAAGTAACTGAGATCCTTGACTTGAATCTTTTTGAGTATGCAAATCTTTAAATTTTAAAAGCTGAACTTTAAAGAAAATTCGATTCTTCTATTGGAGCAGAGAATTATTCTTTTGAAAATAATAAATTGATAAGATTTTATGGACCTAAATCATTTTAAAATAGAAACTATGCCTTTGAATTGCTCAATGATATCAATTACATAAAATTTCCTAGTTACTGGGATGAATAAATAAGAACTCTGAGAATTGATTTGATAACATTTCTGCTAGATTTTTAGTCAAAGGAATTCAAAGATATCAGTGCTATGTTCACTTTTTATGGGTATAGGGTTTTAAAAATAAAAAGAATTTAATGCATGAGACTTTGGAATCTCTTTTAACAAGAAATATTATCCATCAAGTAGAAAAATAATGAATATCCAGCTATAGAGGAATTATTCCATGGCACGAAAAATAACAAACCAAGCAAAGTTTACAAAAATTGGGATTCACTAGATGTCAGATATAGCAAAAAAGGTTTGTGGGGTCAAGCTCTATATTTCACTGATAGTCTAAGTTATATTACAAAAAATGGTTTTGCTTATACAAGTAGAAAATAAAGTTAATAAAGCATGGCTAATCCAAAGAAAAAAGTTCTAATGGGTAAAGTCATTGTTGGTTTGAATAAATATCTACCTCAAAATTAAGATTTAAGATATCCTCCCTTCTTAGAAGGAGAGGAGAATAAAAGATATGATAGTGTATCAGGTACTATTAATGATACTAAAACTTATATGATTTACCAAAGTAGATAGGTTTACGTTGAATATGTTATTACATTTGATTGAAAATTTCCAAATTTATCAATATAACAGGCTTAAAATTTATTTACAAACTTGATTTTTATCATTATTTCTATTTAAATTCTAAATACACTAATAATCGCAATTATTTTCCCTTCATTGGTATGATGTAGCTACCCTTTTCTGATTGGATTAGGAGATACTGAAACTAATTTGATGGATCTTCAGTATAATAGCCTGGGAGGAATGATTTTATTGGGGCAAATTAATGGAGTTGATGGAATTATATACAACTACCTTACATTAATAGACTAATAAGGATTTGAGGAGTCTACTTTTACTTTACCCGTGAATTAAATGTTTAATGATACATCAATTTAAAAAATCATACCAAGTCGGCTAATAATATCAGCTGAAGATAAAATTTATACATTATACCAGGCCTATCTACCTCAGCATAACGCACCATTAATGATAATTAATATGAATTCTGATACAAAAGTTGTGACTTAAGTTTTAACTCCGAGTACATTAATTTCTTATGACAAAATTTAAATGGTCAAATACTTTGAAGAGAACCTTTTCGCACAAATATCTTAAGGTGATAAGTTATATGCGGTCATTAAGTACAAAACAAATGTCACAACTCATAAATTAGATCATATCTGGTTTAAAACACTTGATATTCCTAATAACAAAGCTTTCAAATATGAAGGTGACTTATTTATTAAAGCAAATCTATCAGCATAACGGATTTACACATTTGGGAGTTATGATGGTTTATTTTCAGTCATGAGAATATCTATGGTTGATGAAACAAATGACTAATTTCTTTTAGCAGATCTATTTTAGCTTGAAGATCAACACAACATTCTTGGCCCAGCTGGTAAAAATAAAGCGGATCCAATGGCAGTAGGAGTATACAGCTCAGCTTCCACAAAGATGTACATTTGCACTACTTTGAATGATGATCCTGACAATTTTATAAGGATAGGGCTCTTTGACAAAAATATCTTCAAAGGAGTGTTTTTTAAGCTTGATTAAGCAGAAATTGATTATCAATGCCTAGACATAGTAATGCATGGATCCACAACTTAAGAAGATATTGTATCTGTTCTCTATAAGGATAATAGCAAAGTGACGCTCTAAAGAATTAAATTTGATAATTTGATTGATTACGAAATAGATGCTCCTGAGCCGGCAGATGATATTAAAAAGGTACAAAGTGATATATTTAAAATGAAGAATATGAGAGATGGAGTTAATTACAAATTTGATAATGTTAGAGGAAGGTTTAATCAAGAAACAGTAGACGTTTATAAAATTTTTGGCTACACGCAATAAAACATTAATTGTGTATTCGGTCACAATAACTATGGGTGATATTATGGCTATATCATAAACTAACATCAAAATCAAAAATGTCTTTCTTTTACAGAGGCAGAAAATTCCAAAAAAATTGAATCAGAAAAACCTATTACAACCTAAGTCACATACTTTACTATACAAAAAATTAGTGATCGATTAATAGAGTATTCTATAGAAGATTCTTTTACTTTAAAACTAATTCACATGAAAGACAATGTATCTCGAAATAAAACATGTTTATTTCTAAAAGATTTCAACTACACAATTGATGATATCTATTTCGATACAGCCACTGGGTAAACAAAAAGCACTTATATATTTAAAAAATCCCCAATGTAAAGTAAATTTAATGAAAATTGTTCATTTTCACTCACTTACAGCTTTTACTAACCTCAAATATCAATGATTATTGACTTAAGCTAAAACCCAAATATCAGTTTGACTATTTTTAATTAAGGGACTAAAAAGTTGACAAGTAAGTAGTACAAAATGCAATTCTCGATTCAAGACCAGAACTATGTACATTAATCATATGTTACTTATTTTAACCTATCTACTGACTGCATCTCAACTTCTGTCCCGCGTATTGTTGATCTAAGAAAATATATTTTCACGATTCTAGACTCCCCAATAAAGTATGATGTTTAAAATCTATTCGATATCTCTGTCTTGCACTAAATTTGTTTAACTAGACTATCATATATCATTACAAATTAAGTTTAAGATAAAACAGTAGATACTGAAATATTTAGCATAATTGGTAGTTAATTAACTATTTATACAGAAGATATAAATAAAATTGGAGAGTATAGATACTGGGTAAATATTCTGATAAACAATATAGTTGCAGGCTAAGTTCCTTTACATATTTCTATTATAGCTCAACCAAAAAAAGAAGTACAAGTTAAAAACAATACTGTTTTGAAAGGTTAAGATTGTAAAATTAATGATATAGATATGCTGACCGAGGAAACATACGATTTTTAATTTCCCCCGTGCATTCATCTTATTGAAATCTCGGGATATATTTTAGATATAAATTATTCCTAAGTAAAGAAATTTACAAAGCAGCAATTCAATGGCTTTAATTTAAAACCGAGTATTTAGGACAAAGGGTTTTATGAAGTTTTTGTATAGATAAGAGATAGTTAGTTCAAACCCCTTAAAAGCTATTTAAACTTTAAGGTATTTGTTTACCCTAACACAAATGGAAAAGTTAAATGCAATGAATAGGATTATAAACTTTGTAATCCTGTAATCTCAAAGATTACAATAGATGGCTAAGTTTTTATTAAATTTCCCAAAAATATTCAAGTTATAGATCATCAGCTATTTTCAAATGCTACAAAGGCCATAGCAATTAAGATTTTCAAACAAGAAACTTCTAATAATAATTCAACTTTAATAGATTATTACATTACTGATTTTACAAGAAACCGTGTAACACTACAGCTTATATTTACTAATCCTCAATAAGTTTCTCAATCAATTTTAGTAAGGCATTGATTGATAATATTAATTGATTTCTATAGGGACAAGATAAGCTTCAAGTTAGATTTATAAATAGCAATTATTTCAAAAGCTAAAATGGTGATTATGAAATCACCAATAATTTCTACTGCACTTAAGAGATTCCACCTTAATTAGATAATTCAAGTAAATTATACTCTATTATATTTTTAGCTCTGATGCAAGTTATTAAAAGGACATTTACTTTTATCGACTCCTCATTGATGTCAGGTGTTGTGTCAAATATGATGCTTTCTTTATTTCTTGGCTTATCTATGAAACAAATTTGGAATCTCATCAATACACTTTAAATACTATGTCATATTCCCATGATGAACATTAATATACCATCAAATTTACTATTATGCTTGCAGACTATTATAGAAATTTCTAACCTAAGTTTGATTCCAAAATCTGTAATTGATCTATTTTTCAGTTCGATTGATGATTTTTAAAACTCTGTGAATTCTTAATTTTCAACAATGGATATCTTTTGATTATTTTATCTTTCTATTCGTAAGTTAACTCTAATAAGCTATGAGCAAACAATGATACTAAAAAATGTTGGATCAATTATCATTATGATTATTGCTCTTGCCTCATTATTAGTTTTCCTCATGATTTTGAGAGTAATGTCTCGCTGATTTCCAAAGTAAAAATAAATATTAAAAGAAGGATAATCTTATTAATTAGATTACTTAAAATATTCAAGTCTTTGAGAGATAAAATATTTTTCAGTTCAGTAATCACTTACTTTACCAAAAGTTATCTTAAGCTTTATATAAATTCTCTAATGGGAATCAAAAATGTAAGATTTTCAAAGATTTATTTGATCTAAATAAGAAATTAGTATATCAATGAGGATTCAGAAAGTTTATTAGCATTTGCTATTTCTACAATGTTGTTCGTAGTTTACACCTCTTCTCCCATCCTCATAGGAGTATTGCTAGTTTATAATAATTAAAAATTAGAAAAACATTAGAACTTTAAGATATAATTTGGTTCATTATATGCCAATGTAAAGACTGAACAATTTACGAGTTATCTTTATAACGTGGCTTTTATCCTGAGGAGATTACAGTTTGCTATAATGATAGTTTTTGTTGGAAATTACCCATGTATACAAATTATGACTTAGATTTGGGTCAGCTTTATGTGCATTTTTTATGTATTCTCTCAAAAACCTTTCATAGAAAAATCAGACAATATCACGGAATTCTTCAATGAGATGACTATACTATTGGTATTGTGCTTTCTAACAACAAATGTTAGTGCAACCTCTACTATTGATACTTAATATGAATTAGGATTCTTCATGATTGGAATAATTGTTATCAATATTTTGGTAAATTTTGGACTATTTCTGAAAGTGAATATTTTCAAGTTTTACCAATTTATAAGAGATTTTCCCAAACTTAGGTAGAAATGGAAATAGCAAAAGTATTAAGACCAAGCAGATTAGATTTAGATTGAAGGAGATGAATTTGATAAAATTAACCTTACTCAGTCAAATTACACCACCAAATTCGAAGATCAATCAAATGATTCATTTGATACCTCCATATAGATTAGAATTGAATAGAAGAAATAAGAAAGAGTATAAATATTTGCTCAGTAAATATCAGAAGTTATAAATAAAGCTAAATTTAAAGAAGCCAAGGAGAAGATTAAGAAAAATTTCATGAATGCCAAAGAATCAGCTTTAGATGGGAGTTTGAAAAGATAATAGCTAGATACTAAAATATTCATGAAAGTTTAATAAGAAATAAAAAAACTCGATTAGTAAAAAAAAACTTTTAAATCTATTGATTCCGAAATTACAGCAAACAATAACTCATATTAGGCTTAAAGCTATCTCAGTAATTTGATTAGAAATGTAGCATTCAAACATTAAAAAGAAAGTTAAACATGAAATGATAATTATTAAAAAAGATAGAGATATTTCTTATTTTCATAATATGGCTTTTATATTAATGCTCTTGTCAAGTATCAAGGATAATAATTATTCAATTTATTCATTTTATTAAGTTTTTGAGAATTAAAAATTGATTTTATTTTAGCTACTGCAACTTTTTAATAAGCTTAATGAAATGCGGGGTTTTGGGGTTTTGGGG